TTCCACACAATGCTGACTTCAACAGCCCAGGAGAGACGGGAGTCAGAAAGCAGCATCTCGCTCCACAGCAGTGTTGACTGGCCGTGTTTACAACAGCGATATTTACCTGAGTGAAGCTGCAGAGGAAGAGAAAATATGAATGTGCCCATTTTCAAAGTGATCCGTGCTTGTCAAACAGTGTCTGGATACACACACACACACACATTCACAGCCCTATGGGTCACTGCTCTGTCATTTTCCTGCAATTACATAGCGATGCTGGCATGAGCACACACAAGTTTGCTCTGCAGACCACGAGTGCACGGCTCATTGTGACTCCTGCGGTTGCAGAAATGGAAATTTTAATGAAGTGAGCGCCGCAGTGGTTGTCTCCTCGCCCTTCCTGCTTTCGGGAGAATGCCACTTTATACACAAAAACGGACCAGTGATTTCATTAGAGATACAGAAGAAGTAGACGGGGAAAAAAACTCCAGACAGGCTCTCTCCCGTAATAACTTCAGCCCTCCGTGTGCTAAAGGGAGACTGGGGAACACACTCATTGACCTCATTCATTCATGCTCATCTTTCACACACTTCTCGTTCACTGTTTCTTTGTTCTGACTGTCCTGCTTCTCTCAGCGGTGCATAGGGGAAGGACAGGGAAGCCTACTTTAAAGGTCCCATGTCATGCTTTTCCGGTTATTACCCGTCCCCTTGTGTGTTATGAAGGTTTTTCTGCATGTAAACGGTCTGCAGAGTCACAAACCCTCAAAGTACACCCTGTAGCGAGTACAACTCTAACACAGAAAAGACCTGTCTATGCTGCCCCAGAACGCCTCGTTGGGGATTTCTCTTTTTCCATTGTTTACTTCTTGGGTATAGTGATGTATTTTGGGTATAGTGACGTAACGTAACGTAACGGCTCCGCAGATTGGTCCAAATGGCCCAGGATGAGTTTTGCGGTGTCTCGCTGTCTCGCAGACGGCCACTGGGCTCACAGGGAGGGGGAGGCAGGAGCTCCAACAAGCTGTTTAGGACAGAGAGTGAATACACATACTATACAGAGACGCTGTATGAGAAACCAATGTGAGTTTGGAAAATTGCACAATTTAAATCTATTCTAGTATACCTCAACGATGGAATTATGATCAGTAGAAATGGCCATGACATGGGACCTTTAAGTAATTTAGTCAAAAAGAGTCAACTTTCTTTGTGTACTTTAAGAAAAATGGGCAGCTTTTTGATGGAAACAAAACACAACTGCAATTTGAATGGCCCAAAAACGAATTGAAATAGACAATTGAGTCAAAATAATTCCAGAGAAATGTGGTTTATTTATGCAGCCGTTCATCAGATGTTATCCAGAATACTATCAGCAGTTCAGGAGAAGGACCTAGTAAATTAAACAAGGTTTTCTATTATTTGAGAACTCAATATCAAGTGTCTCTCCGATTCAGATTTGACTGGAAACACACTGTTGGCGCTTTCACACCTTTCTCCAAAAATCAAAACGTTGAGCTGAAAAGGAGAATAATTCTGTCCTTTTTCACTTGAAGCAACCTCTTTACTAATGCACACAGGCATTCTCATCATATGTTCATATTGCATAGATTACAGTGGCTTTAACTATTGTCAAAATCAAATACTTTGCATTATTGCTGACCACTTTTAAATGCATGCGTTCTATGTCTTAGATCTGTGGACTGCTGGGTGGTGTGTAACTCGAAGTTGTTTTTCTCCTTTTGAGAAAAACAATTTTTTTATTTGACTCACCAACTTTTCACCAGACACGTTTCTCTTTTTTTCTAGCTGAGCAGGTAGCATGATATAACACTGTTATCTGGAGGTTGTGTTTCAGAAACTGAATATAGTTTAAATGCTACAGTTGTTAAGAAGTGTGTTTATTTATTTTTATTATTTCACGAAATCCTACTTTAGTCCTGACACTTGAAAAAACACAGGGAAAAGTCAGGAGTCGTGATCCGCTCTGACGACACACACTCTTCTCTTGCTCACACACACACACACACACACACACACACACACACACACACACACACACACACACACACACACACACACACACACACACACACACACACACACACACACACACACACGCTTTCCTCCCACATGTGTTTTCCCATCTCTGCCTGTCCGTCTCTCGCTGTGTTTTACCTGCCAAACTAATAGCACAGATACACTGTCTTGAGAAGCACTCAAGTTTCTTTAAAAAAAACGAGGGCACTGGGAAAGAAGCATCCTTGCATTTACCGAAGAAATCAATTTAGGCTCTCTTGAGTGAGTCTGGCAAAATCACATAATTGCTGTCATTACCGCAGCCTTTATGATTTTAAGCTTTCAAAAGGTTACAGCGGGGAGAGTTTGAAAAGAAAATGGTATAAGTGCTAAACGCTGATTGAGTGATCAGGTGAGCCGTTTGAAGTTTGGTAGTTGCTGCTCTGTTTTGATTGCACATAAAAACACATTCATTTTTTCCCAGGTGCTGTGTTTTTTTGGTGCTTTTTGAACATTAAAGCATGGAGACATGTGTCAGTAGAGGCTGAACATACTAATATGTACCTGAAAATTAGAAGAATAGGGCCCCTTTAAGTCCAAAAAAATAAAAGTACATTACATGTTACTTGTTAGACCCTTTTATCCAAAGCGACTTACATACTCAATACTGTGTGCAATCCCCACAGGAGCCATTTGGGGTGAAGTGTCTCAGGGACACAACGACATGCTGACTGCAGTGGGGTTTGAACCTGTGCCCCCCTGTTCTGGACACCAACGCACAACCCACTGCGCCACATGCCTCCCTACATGGAGAATATATTAAACCCAAAGTGTTTGCAAGATTTGTCGCTCTTATCAGTTTTGGTAAGTACTTTTTTATCATACATTTGAATGTGTGTGTGGTCACTACCAAACACACATTTTCTCAAGAGTAAACAGTATGTTGCTCTTACAGAAACACTTCATAAATGTGTCCTCGTGTACTCTCTCGTTCTGATTGAAATAGCATAACATGTAGGGCATACCACACGAGCAAAGATGTGTGTCAGTTGGTTTAAGACTCCATATTTAACTTCAATGTACAGTACATCCTGTGTCTAATCTAGTACATATGACTCTCAGATGATAACAACTGTTGTTCACATGCAGCCAATAGGATGTCTTGCATGTCTTGCCACTCGGCTTATTTTTTTCTTGCACTTCTTATCGTCTCTCTCTCTCTCTCGCTCAAGACTGATTTAATCTGTCGTGGCTTGACTAAAGTGTGAATTCCTGTGACGTCTCTTGTTTTTTTTTTTGGGTGAATTTGGTGTGAGTCTGAAAACAGGCAGTCAGGCAGAAGAGAAACAGGTTATCACTACAGTGGTCTGGCAAATGGTAAAGAGAATAGTCTTAGAGAAGTGTCAGACCAATGCAGTTGCTGTTTTTGGTTCAATATTCAATGGTTAGTCATTTTTGTCTTACTTGCTCCAAAGGCTCAACGGGGTGAGACAGAAATAACGCAGGACAAAGACGCTTGAAGATTTCTGAAAAGAGCTGCAGAAGCAACAGCGCGATATGAAACAAATTGCCAGTATACATGTACATGACTTTTAGCAGTAACACATGTATATTTAATGAGTACACTAACAGATCAAAACCACCTACTGTTAAGGGTTTTGAAAAGTAGAGTTTGAAGATATCTTGGTTCTTGACCGGTGAAGAAACGGGACATCTTCCCCCACATTTGAACTTCTGTATAGTTGATGAGGTCTTGCATTCATAACAAGGTCAGAACCAAATCACTGACGACAAACATAATTTGATTGCAATAGAGTTTTATTCGTCAAAAAGCAACGAAAAAACCAGAGCAGATCCAGAAGTCAGAAAACAGTTGTATTAGCGTTTTTATAGCTGAAGCATCCTTGTTTTTCATTGGTTGACCTTGTCGAAGGACGATGGACCACCTTCCATTTTCTTAGTTCTAAACCTTTTTTCAGATGTTTGCTTACAGGTGTCCATGGTCACGTTATCACTTTGGCCATGTTATACCTCGAACAAAACTTGACCTCGTTGGCGCTCTAGTGAGAGGGGGAGTTTTGCTGTTCTCCAATTTTCTATTCTAACTTCATACCCCATTCACTTCTGAGAAAGTGAAGGACAGTTTTACCTGAATAGACTAATAGTGGTTTTTCGTACAACCTTGACACTCTTAGTTCCACAGTTTGCTAGACCTTGTTTTAGTTTTTTTGAGTTACTTCTAACTCTACAAAATACCAAAAAACGAAGTCAGGCAAGGCAAGTTTATTTATATAGCGCCTTTCAACACAAGGCAATTCTAAGTGCTTTACAAAAATCAAAAACGCAAGTGGAAAATATGATAAACATGAATAACCCAGATATAAAATACATGAATAAACCTTTATATTAAAGCCTCCACAAGATTTAAGAAGTTTTCCCAGAAACTTCCCTGACTTCTTTAGATTCCCTGAACCCAGGATATTTAAACCTGTTTTTTGATTCCCTAAAATCTGGTTTTTATTTATCAATACAAAAGTTATGGCCAACATTCAAGTACCTCAGTTATAAACACTTTGCTAAATGTCATATGAGACACCAGATTTCCCTGATTGTAATTTTCTTCCCTGCTCAGTGAGTAATTAGTGTATAAAAGTTTATACCTAATTAGCATGATTGCCAGTTCAGACGGTATTTCACCATCAGATTTCTGCTAGTGCAGAACAGATGGTGAGCTAATAGACTTGTTTCCTACAGTTTACAGAAATGGGACCTCCTGAACAGAATGACTCGATGTGATACTGAACACGCATGAGTTTATGAGTACGAATATGATGTTTAGTAAAGGAAATGACTTTCAAGAAGCTTCTTTTCCCATGACTTTGAACTCCCACTCTATCTCTGTTTGACTCGAACAGCAGCTCTACTTGTGTACGGTTGTTTCCTGTTTCAACACACTCACTTCCACAAGCATAGCCACAACCTTTCACACTGGTCTTCACACATGTGATGTGTGTGTGAGGAGGTGGTTTGACTGTGCTCTCTTTTGCACTCACAGTCCCTCGCCTGCACTTGTGTAAATCTCACAGACGCAAAAACATGTCCAACATTACAGTGGAGAATGGAACAGAGCCGGACTTGAGTAACACGGCGTACGCTGTGGTGTTTGGATCTGTAACGGCTCTGGGTTTTCCCCTCAATGCCGTGTCTTTGTGGATTCTGTTATGCTGCCACAGCCGCAAATCCCCCAGCACCATCTTCATGATCCACCTGGCCATCTCCGACCTGCTGCTCGCCTCCTCCTTACCCCTGAGGGTCTACTTTTACGCCACGGGGTCCTGGCCTTTTGGCTTCATGACGTGCATTTGGGTCACGATGCTTTTTCGCAACAACATCCGCTCCAGCTCCATCTTCATCACTTTCATCAGCGTGGACCGGCTGCTGGCTGTGGTTTATCCTCTGAGGTCGCGCCACCTTCGAACCTCTTCAAACGCCTGCAAAGCTGTCGCGCTCGTTTGGGTGTTGGTGTGTGCGTTGAACATCCCGGAGAGCATAACGTTTTGGAGGTTTCACTCCAATAAATCCAGATGTTTCGATTTCGGCGATCGTTTCGAATTCGACGATCGTTTCGAATTCGAGGATCGCCCCAGATCAGGATGGTTTTACGTTCAGCCTGTGTTGGTTCTCGCCATGCTGGCAGTGAACGTGGTGTCCACGGTTCTCGTCTCACGGACTCTCCGCAGACACCTGAATGACTCGGCAAGGGTCTTCAACAAGGTGAACGTCATGCTGATTTTCGCCATGAATCTGATAATGTTCAGCGTGTTTTTCTTGCCTGTATCATTGTTTCTTATATTTAAAAAATCGGGACCTGCTCTGACTCCATTGGTATGCCTGGCCAGTGTGAACTGCTGCCTGGATCCTTTGTTGTATTACTTTTCCTTTGATGGTTTCTGGAAGAGAAAGGAGGATGCTGATTCCTCTGGTGGGAGAGAGTAGTGCGTGATAACAATCGATAAGGACAGAATGCATTCGAGTGTGTGTGGATGTGACATAAAAGGCAAAAAACGGAATTATTGTATATTGTAAATGTTCACTTTATAATCAAAACTAACTTGTTAATTTGATGAAAATGTTTGTTTGATGATCTGACACAGAGATACTGATTCAGATAGCAGTCGACTCATCAGACGTTGTTTTTTCCTCTCCTCACATGACCTCAGTACAGCTACAGCTGCGCGTGTGAAGACTCATTTTAGTATCAGTTCACATCTGAGCTGCAAAGATCTGAACATTGGATCCTCTGGCATCTTGGTGACATGTATTAAATACAACTACTTCCCTGTGATTAATAAATAAGTCTTACTGACCTGGTCTTTTGTAAACTGTCTGGCCACATGAGCTTTTTAGGAAACCATGACCGGATTACAACATGTAACATTACAACTTCCTGCACTTGCATCCTATGAACCCACTGATTCAACTTCTAAAATGATAAACAAGAGGTTTCAAAAGTGAACTCAAATGATTGGTTCAGTCTTATTGGTACAAATACAAAGCCAGCTAAGTTTACTGAACTAGACAAAAGGGGTTTCCTATTTTCACAAAACATTTAATATATGTATTTAAAGAAAACTCTTGTTGAGTTCAGTCAGTACTATTTGTATTTGAGGTATTAGTTGGTCATTCTGTGGTTAGATCTGTGTGCTCCTGTTGTAAATGGGGCGAAGCCTGCGAGCTAGTTCAGGCAGTCAACTCGAGCACCAATGATACATTAACACGTGACGCACCTCGTCCCTCTTACAACCAACCAAACACATTCTCCTAAACATGCTGCTCTATTTAAGCTGCCAGGTCTTCCTGTCTCTGCCTCGCTATGCTGCTGCTGCCACTGCTGTGTTCACGTTGCTATTGCTACGTTCATGTTCCTGCTGCTGTGTTTCATGTTGCTGCTGATGTGTTTCATGTTGCTGTTACTGCTCGCCTGCCCCACCACCACCCCAGCTTCCACCCCACCACCACCCCAGCTCCACCCCAGCTTCCACCCCAACTTCCACCCCAGCACCACCCCAGCACCACCCCAGCTTCCACCCCAGCTTCCACCCCAGCTTCCACCCCAGCTTCCACCCCAGCTTCCACCCCAGCTTCCACCCCAGCTTCCACCCCAGCTCCACCCCAGCTTCCACCCCAGCTTCCACTGAGGCCCGAGCCTAGACGCCAAACTCAAACTATATGCTGCTTCTAATAAACTTATTAAGAAACACGTGAGTTGTCTGACTGAACTGAATACTTGTGTGGTTTCCATAACTATCACAGGAAAATACATGAATTGACTTTTTCTTTAAACCACAAAAAATAAGGTTTCTGTGGTTTTTAATCTCAAACAAATCCATGCTGGGAATCCTGCTATTTTTCTTAAAAAACGTAAAAGGTAACATGTTGAGTTTTCTTGTAACCAATTTAAAAGTAAATGTAACATTATCAATAAAACCCACACTGTGTCTTTCCTCTCATAAAACATTTCTAAAGCAGTCTTCCGCTCCACCAGCAGCAACACATGCTTGTTGGAGAGCAGGTGCATCCTCATGCGAGATACAATCACAACACGTAGAGGTGTTTCTCTACAGTGTCACGGTTATAAAACCCCACAGGATGTCGTTCTAATGGGACTAGTTCTGATAACACCAGCAGTCCTTTCAACACAAACACTTCAAGTCAGAAGAACTCATATGTTCTGATAATATTTCTTTATGCTTAGATAACATGCAAAAATAAGTTGTAGTAATTGCAGTAATAATTGATGTAGGTTGCTTTACAGTGTTGGCTGGAAATTATTTGTTGTTTTGGCGCACAGTTCTTTGCTTTTCTCATCTGCCATATGTGAATATCAGTTATAAAAGACATATGTAGGAGGCATCAAAACATGCTTATGCTAAACTTTCATTTAAGTGATAAGACTTAATCCTTCTTTATCCTTGCTAGCTTTTCCTTTGAATCTTTTTAACATCATTTGGCACCGAGTTGTGGGTCTTTGTGCTTTTTGTCAGAGTCTCAGAACAGCAGCCAGCAATCGCTCAAGTCCTGGAAGCTTTTGCTAAATGGAGAGGCATCTGTATGCGCCTGCAGAAATCGATCCAGAAAGGATCTAGATTTGAGAAAATCCAGATGTAACGACTGGACGTAGACACTGGTACGGTGGCTGTAACACTTCCAGTAGGAGAAACATGCTGCAGCTTCAGAGACGATGCAAATATACAACACAGTCTCACGGCATTTCGTGTTATAGTCACGAAATTAATCTATTGATTCGTGTTCACCAACACGATTTTCCCATTTTTTTCGTGTCACACAGAACGATTTTGAAAGCAATGTAAATAATAACAAATTAGAAGGAAAAACAGATACAAAAAAAATACAGATTTCAGTATTCTGACACAGAACGATTTTAGAAGCAATGTATTTCTATTGGTAGTATGTTTCGTGCCTGCACCAAATAATAACAAATTAGAAGGAAAAAAAGATGACATAAAATACAGATGTCAGTATTCTGAGGCTCTGAGACATTTCTTTTCCTCGCAGACGGCAAAAAAACTCAGACATTATACAATTTAAAATAAAAGGGATAGGGTTAGGCTTAGGGTAAGATATTGAGTAAGAACATGTTTTTATGAACCACACAGCTTCTGGTATTCCAAGACCCGACCGGACAAAAAGACGTGTTGCAGGCACGAAACATACTACCAATAGAAATACATTGCTTTTAAAATCGTTCTGTGTGACACGAAAAAAAAGGGGGAAATCGTGTTGGTGAACACGAATCAATAGATTAAATTAATTTCGTGACTATAACACGAAATGGCGTGAGACTGGGTTGAAATATAGAAGCAGAAATGTGCCACAACACATGCAAATGGGGAAACATCTTCCATTATGTTAAAAAATATCACTCGTCACCGGCTTGAGCTTCAATCTCAGGATCCATGTATTTCTGATCCTCTCCAGAATGGAAGTAGTCATCACACACAGAGCATCAACTAGTTCCTGAACAGTGTCCTTCACATGCTGATATCCAAGAGAGGGAGTTACACAGTCACAAGATGGAGGAATAGAAAGCAGTATTCAATGTTTACTTCAGATTAGCTCCACGTCAGAAATGATCATGCTTGTCATATGTCTATCTCCATAGAGGCTGAATCATCATGTTAATCACATAGCTATCATATGCCTCAAACAGTCCTGATGCTCTTCTATGTACACAGCTACAGTTGGGATACCTTTGTTATCATGTTGACTCTGATATTGGAAGAGTACATTCAGTATTTTCCCAACATCTAACAGGACAAAACATGTGCAGTATTTTCTAAAAGTCCTGCATAAACAAACCACTTCAAATACAAAAAGCTGCAAGAAGCTAAAAATACATCTGAAACCAGGGGACACTTAAAAGTGATGCACACCGGAGCGCTTGTAAACGTTCAGGGATTATTAAATTGGCAAACTTTCACAGTTGGCAGAGTTAGTCTGTTTTTATAATTGTATCTGTTTTGTCAGTATTTTTTACATTTCTTGGTTGGCTACTTAGCTAGCTATAACATCAAGATGAATCATGTGATCACATTGCTAAAATAAGCTAAATGTACGTTTCAAGTAAGAATCCAGGGACAGATGGCACACTTTATAACCCTGAACGTCAACAAGCGCTCCTGTCCCAGCTGCGTGCATCACTTTTTAAAGGGCCCATGTCATGCTTTTCCGGTTATTCCCCGGCCCCTTGTGTGTTATGAAGGTTTTTCTGCATATAAACGGTCTGCAGAGTCACAAACCCTCAAAGTACACCCTGTAGCGAGTAAAACTCTAACACAGAAAAGACCTGTCTATGCTGCCCCAGAACGCCTCGTCGGGGATTTCTCATTTTTCATTGTTTGCTTCCTGGGTTCTGTGACGTGTGAACACCCAAATCAACAACAAATGACCGGATTGGCCCAAATGGACCAATCCACGGAGCCCCTCACACACCAGGATCCCTTGGCTAACTAACAGAGAGTCCCCATTGACTTGCATAGAGCTCCCTGAACTCTGGTAATAGACAAGTTGGGATGGCGGAGAAATGCTCTCCGCAGACCCATTCTCACAGCGTTATAAACCTTTTTCTTACTCAATATCAAGCCACACTTATTGTTTTTACTTCGGCTGTGAGTGTTTGTGTGTGCTCAGGATGAGTTTCGCTTGTTCTCGCTGTATCGCCGACACGGAAACCTGTCCGCTCCTCGCAGCAACGAGCCTCGCAACGTCCCGACCAATCAGAGCACACTGGGCTCACAGGGAGGGGGGGGCAGGAGCTCCAACAAGCCGTGTAGGACAGAGAGTGAATACACATACTATACAGAGATGCTGTATGAGAAACCAATGTGAGTTTGGAACATTGAACAATATAAATCTATTCTAGTAGACCTCAACAATGGAAATATGATCAGTAGAAATGGCCATGACATGGGACCTTTAAAGTCCCCTGGCTTTCCTGTGTTTGGAGAATCCATTTTTTATTTGCAGCGTTTTTCTATTTGCAGCATTTGTTTCGTGAAGTTGGTGAATGTTTTCTAAACGCTGCACATGTTTCTTCATTTGCATGTGTTTTAGCACATTTGTGTTTCTATATCTGCATCGTTATTTTTTTACTTTTCTGCAAACGGAAATGTGTTTTGGCCGATGTAAGATGTTTGCATCTGTATGCCACCGAACACTGGGGATTTACCATTAGGACGCTCTACATGAGTTACACCCTTCACCTCATGGAAACAAAACTGCATGAGAGAACGCTGCCCTTTCACACTTCTTCTTTTTCTCTTGTTTCCTTAACTTAGGCCACTGATGGAAAACCACAGAAACCACATCACTGTGTAACTTCTGCAAAACCGCAGCGTCCTGCTATCTGGGCTTTAACACATGCACTCCCTTTAGTTATGAACATAAACAAGAAAAAGTATTTATGAAAGTATTGCCTTCTTAATAAAGTCAGGTCATCCATAGAGCGGCTGAGTTATCATGACCCTTCACAAAGTGGAGCCCAGCTTTGGAGGCTGTTTCCTCCCTCGAGCCGCTGCTTATATGTTTAATGTGACCTCAGTGTGTGACCCTTTAAGGGAGGAAGTGAGAGGCTGAACAGGAAAACAGACCGCACTCTACACAACTTCACCTCTATTTATCTGGAGCCACACTACAGTTTGAAATTGGCTTGATTTGCATTTATGGGAAAGTGGTTTACAACCTCTCCGTGTGTTTTTACTTTTTCCAATTGACATGTCTATGTACCTTCATCTGTATGCGTGTATTAAGGTCAGGCTTGTTTAGAGCTCCGTCTGTAAAGGACTG